AGAGAGAGAGAGAGAGCATGGGTTTGCTCATTTACATTTCACAAATCTGAAACCTTATCCTAGCGAATCACAAATTTCTTGAAGAAAGTTCAAGTGTTCTTTTCAATTAACATCGTTTGTGAATCAATTTTGGGGCTACTCTCAGCCAGTAGAAAGTTCTCAACTTTTATACATCAGCACTCCAAAAGCCCTCTGTGCCTGTCATCAGATACTGTCAATATGGGTTCACTGTCATGGATAATTGACTCTATGGCCACAAATCACATATCGAATTATTCTTATATTTTCTATGTACCGCTGAATGGTATCATGCATGTCACTCTAGATTTTTTGAGAAGTAATCCAGCAGAATAAGATGGTCGCTCCAGCTATAGAAGCTTGATCCTCCTCCGAGACAAGGGATCTCGACTCCAGAAATCTTTTGAATTTAAGGATCTCAATCCGTGATTAGGCATCTGGATTCCTGGTTAATGGGATCCTGATCCCTCTCATCAAAATCATGGGTCTACGAGTAAGGGGAATCGAGATTCCACCACCATGGAATCGAGTTTCTTTTACTTTAGAACAGAGGATCACCAATATATTTTGATATCCCACAATGGTATCCATGGTTTGAGGCTTGAAGTTTGAACTTCAAACTTGTGAGTCACAGAAATAAACACCATAGCATACAAGCTACTACCACATCGACAAGTTATGGAACCTGTAGATGACGGAAAGCAGCTGCAAAGCTAAAAATTCACCATGTCCTTCCCTAAATCCTTTTTATTTCACTTACCGAAAGCTCTATATCCTTGTCTCTAAGGCCCTCTCATTTATCAACCATTACAGAGACCTTTGCCGTTTGACCCTTTGTTTGCTTCTGGACCTTTTTTTTCTCAGAATCTAGAAAGCATTTGACCAGTTGTATGCTCAATTGCAAGTGAAAAGACCCACACAAGGAAAGACAAGGACACTGCATTTTCATCAAATGCTGGAGCTTCTTTCATACCTGAGGCTGTAATTTGATACCTTATTTTGGGGTTTCAGTTTCACTTCTCACTTATGAAACACATTCCATGATAATAAAAAATTTAAATATTTTAAAAAGGAAAAAAATTGGTACTTAATAATACTTTTCAGCTTTGAATTTGGAAAAAACATGAATCATATAGTTCAAAGAACTTCATTCCTGAGCTAGATTACCCTAGTTAAGTGCTCTTGGGGAGCCTCGACTCTGAGTTGGACAGACCTTGATTCCATATAGTTTGTCCATCAATCCTGGACAAATTTGAATCACGCTCCCTTCATATTGGGATCGAGATCCCTTTAACGTATGGATCTTGATCCCTATCCCGTGGATCTTCATGCATCTCTTGATCCTGCATTCCCGAACCCGGTCTAGGGTCTGACCTCATTCCTGATCTCGATAACCATGGTTAGAGTTGATAGAGTTGGAACTGTTTCTCTCGACTTGCATATCACCTCTAGTGTTTTTCTGTTCCAGAGTTGGATAATCTGGTATCTATTAGTTGACAATGAGTCATCTTTCTAACAAGGCGTTACTATTAGTAAGATCGGACAACATGGGAAACGCATGGTTTTCATTCAGAATACTTTCAACCATGACTGGTTCCTCAGAATCACCCTCAACAGCTTAGCCCAAAGAAAGTGAAGAAGACACTGTTCTAAGACTACAGCAGAGATCATTGGGGAACCTCATGATGCTAGACTGAGACAGATGCGTAGGGACAAGATTCGACCACAGTATGTATCGTTTGTAAGGGTCCTATTGTACAATTAATTTCTCAGGTGCATTTTCATATTTAACAGTCTTGCCTCTACTCATAAGTCATGACGGGTCTTCATGTTATTTCATAAACGCACTCATAAGCATGGAGGTTTAACTCCCCATTTTCATTTATGAAAATTGCTATTCAATTTCTCACTGATATTACTAGTTGACTAACAAGTGAGTCATACAATACATTGGGGAAAAGCCAAAACAGATTGACTCATGAAATACATTGGGGAAAAGCCAAAATAGACCAACTCATGAAATTTACAATTTCCTTTGCAATGGTTGAAACTTATATGTAGCTCAAAGAGGCTGATATGTAATTTTATAAGCCGTTAATTTTTTGATCGAATGGTTCTCAGAGTTTAGAAATCCAGAATATCGTTATTTCAGATTTGTCTGGATGTAATCTGTCATTCTCCATATCTTTGCATCAGGTTTAGGAACCAATATATAATCCATGCAACTAAATTGTAGGCTAAAAATATGCAACCAACCTTATTTCCTTGAAGATAAAATTATGATCCAATGACTAAGAACTTTAGACGGCACAGAAAACCATAGAATACGTTATTTTTTTCTAAAAAAAAGCCATTATTAGGTGTATTCTGAGAGTTTGTACCTTCAATGCGAGTTCCTCAAAGCATTTTTCCACATTTACTCGAGTTTTGGCACTGCATTCAAGAAACAGGCATCCATATTCTTTTGCAAGTGCGATTCCCTCCTCCCTTGTAACAGCCCTCTCATCTTCCTGGAATATAGGTGAATTGAGGCAGTCATGATACAATGATAAAACATATATTCAAAACAAAGGCGAGAAAGGCCAGTACATGTCTAATATCAGTTACTAACTTACAAAAACGTATAGTTTGGAGTCGAGAATATCATAGAACGACATAACTCTGGAGAGATTACCTTAGTGCATGTTTACCTGTGCCAAAACTTATAGAACTCCTCTGTTTTTCTTTGCGTAGTAGAACTCATTTATGTTACCTAGAGTAGTTAAAAAGAAAAACAATTTTTTGCCTTCCTAGGCACAATTGTCACCTGTAGTCTCTGTTGGTAGTGAAGTACATTGGGTTTAGACCATAAGATGTGGACGACTAACATGACTAAACATTATATTTTTCACCCTTATTGATCTAATGTTTTCCTTGGCCTCAAGGACATGTAAAAAATTTGTCTGGCAGCTATTACCAAAACTATCAAGGCTAACCAACCCAGATAATGGATTAATGTCAGTTACTATTCCTAAGGGAAATTTCAATTAATTTCCAATAAATATGGGAGATCCTACAGTATTAAAATTCTACTGATCCTATTACGGGTCTACTCATCTAGAAACCAAATTATTCAGACATCCATGAAGAGCTAAAGTAGTAGTAACTGCATATAGCCTCATTAATCAATTAAAGTCATAATAATTCGCATAGGGGAAAGAATTCCTCAGCCTTTAGTTGTTGAAAACGCCTAAGATTCAGAATCGATTTAGTAGTGGCTAGAAGATTATTGTTGTTGGAATCATTGTCCGTAAAGGGTGAATTGCAGGAATCGAGATTCCTACTTATCAGAATCAAGTTTTGATCCAAATGGAATCGAGATTCCTACCTCTTTGAATTTGAGTTCATACAACTCTAGAATTGAATTTCAACCAGTTGAAATCGAGATTCATACAAATTGGGGATCGAGCTTCAACCCACTTGGAATCAAGATTCCTATCTCAATGGCATCGAGTTTCAACCCAATAAAGATTCCTAGCTCTAGATATTTGCATTTGAATGTTGATTCCGTGTTACCAAAACTTCGATCATGCGTTCATCGAATTACTATTCGGTGCACTTATGAACCATGGGATTCAATGTTCTCCAATCTGGATTTCAAATAACTCAGATAGGATTTCATAAATATTTGAAGCGAGATCTCATGTTGATAGAATCATGGTTTCATGCACCTATAAACTGTAGTATTTGATTATGTGGAATTTGGATTCCCAAAAAATTGAACGAATATTCTATGAAGGTGGAAGCAAGATTGCATGTTAATCAAATCATGGTTCCTTGCACCACGAACTGCAGTATTCTATGCTATGGAATCTAGATTCCAAAAAAACCAAATCGAGATTCAATAAATGTAGAATTAAGATTCAACTAGGGAGGAATCGAGATTCAATAAATTTGTAGAGATTCCTAAAATGTGGAATCGAGATTCTTTATAAAAAAAAAAAAATGTGGAGTCGAGATTCTTAACTTCAAGGAAACGGGTTCTATGAAGATTCATTTATGGAATCGACCAATCGAGATTCCGAGGAGGAATTGCCACCTGGGGTGAGAGATACCAGTAGCTATGATACAGTCTCCTAGAACTTAGTCAAGCTAATTGGATTGTATTGCAATTATTTTATACAATTTTGTCTAGTTTTTATACAAACAAGATTCATCATCATCATCATAGCCTTTTCCCAACTATTTGGGGTCGGCTACATGAATCCCGGTCCGCTATTCTGCTTTATCAAGGGCCATACTAGTCCACCTAAGTTTACTTTTGCATCTTATCGCCTATTGGAGCCAAACCTAAGTTCTCCTGAATGTATTTATTTCGTACTTTATCCCTTATTGTCATGCCACTCATCCATCTCAACATCCTCATCTCAACTACACTCATCATTTGGATATGATGTTTCTTGACCGCCCAATATTCCACCCCATAAAGAAACGCTAGTCACACAATTGTCCTATAGAACGTGTCCTTCAGCTTCATTGGTATGCAGCGATCACATAAATCTCCAGTTGCACATCTCCACTTTGCCCACCGAGTTGTAATTCTGTGCGGCATCTTCCTCAATCTCTCCATTTGCTTGGATTATTGACCCAAGTTATTGAAAGTGTGTCAATCTATTCTGTTTGGAATTTCTTGGTCGTCAATCTTAACTACTTCCTCATCTCTACCCCTATTATTACTTAACTTGTATTCCATCTACTCTATCTTCGTTTAGCTAAATTTAAAACCTTTAGATTCTAGAGCATCCATCCAAAGTTTTAACTTTGTGTTGATGCAGCTTCAGGTCTCATTGGACAAAACTATGTCCATAAACAACATACACCATGTTAACTCATCTTTGTAAGTGACTAGCTAAGTCATCCATAACTTACACAAAGAGGTATGGGCTCAATGCAGACCCCTGACGTGGACCTATTGTTACTGAAAACTTACTCATCTCTCCACTGATTGTTTGCACACTTGTTAGCACTCTCTCGTACATATCTCTCACTACATCGATGTAGTCTCTAGAGAATCTTTTTTTTTCCAACACCCACCAAATTAAGTCTCAAGGTACTCTATTATAGGCTTTCTTTAGATCAATAAAGACCATGTGGAGGTTTTTTTCCCTTCACCTTAAACTTCTCAATCAATAGCCTAAGTAGGAAAATAGCCTCAATTGTTGACCTCCCGGGCATAAAACCAAATTGATTTTTGATACATTTGTTTCATGCCTTAGACATTGCTCAATCACTCTCTCCCACAACTTCATAGGGCGACTCATAAGTTTGATCCCTCGATAATTTGCCCAATTCTATATGTCTCCTTTGTTTTTGTAAATAGATGTCACAATACTTTTGCTGCATTCATCTGACATTCTCTTTGTTCTCAACACCTTGTTGAACAACTTGGTCAGCTAGTCAATGCCAGTCTCCCCCATACACTTCCAAACTTCTATTGGATACCATTTGGTTCTAAAGCCTTTCCAATCTTCATCCTCTTCAAAGCTTCTTTCACTTTTGATATCCTAATCCTATGAATGATTCTATGAGATCCGCCCTCATTTATATAATTTTTCATAAAATAGTAATAAGTGAAATAAGGCATGGTCTCTTATTAAGGCCTTAAAATTAAACGCCCCTAAGATGTTTAGGGGAAAAAAAAACCCAAGAACAAGTCTCAGGAAATCTCTCAAAGGTAATGTCATGAATGTCGCTTAGGCCTGAGGATCCACTCCTATCTAACATTTCCCAGTCTACACAAATGCCTTTAGACATCCTCCCAACATCCAGAAAACTCATCACATACATGAGCCATTTAGAGCAACAACTACACCAAGAAATTATGCTTGACAAGGTTCATCAAAAACTACGCCAAATGACAGACATACTGAGTACCAGACCCAAAACTCCAGATACGAGTTAGCACATGTAAACTAATCCCCTGGGTAACAACCATATTCATCAGCGGGTCAGCTGTAATTCGAGTAGCTTAGACCCTAGCATGGGCAAGCAACAATGTTGAGTATGATGAAAACTAATTGTAACAAAAAAACACACACTTTGGCAGTTATTAACCTTGTTTTTTTTTACTTTTTATTCTTAATGACGATTAAGGTCCTTAATACCCTTCTCACATGTAAAATTCACATATTATGTCGTCGAAGCATTACCCATTTGAAGCAAGTTGGAAACTATTCTTGCCTCTCCACTTTTCCACTTTTTCACACAGAGGACTTGGACACTGAGCTAAGCATTGGTACTATCTAATGTAAAGACTACATGATTGTAGGACCCCACCTCACTCTAAACATCCGATATCATAACAAGTATTGCATGTCTTGCTAACTTCAAAGAGCCCATCCCGGAACTCCCATCAACTACACAGGAAATCTAACCACCTAAGAAATTTCAAAACTTCTAGATGCACAGAGTGCCATCAATCTTATTACAACCACAAGAAAATTTACATGACCAACGTGCACAACCTTGAAAACTCTGATTATTTGAAAGTTCAAGAAATATGGTAGTGCTACATAATCGAATGTCAAACTAGAATAGCAGGGTTTGAATACTGGAATCCCATGAGATAGTCCACTTCTGATATATCTTTAATATTCTTGGCCTAGTTCACTTGCCAACCCATATATTAATCAAATTAATGCCATGCAGGTTGCTAAAAACCATGTCCTCCACAAGTGAATCAGAGATGTTTAGTTGTCAAAGAAAATATAACTTAAATTATTGACTAAACTCAAGTTAATTTCTCTCTCATATGGCATCAAATTTCTTGGGATCTCATAGAGTAGTTGTTATTTCAGTTATCTGTGTCAATTGAAGGCACACTTGGTATGTATTATGCCAAAACTATTCAATCAGCATTTTTTATCTGCAGCACTTGTTTTTCCAACTCTTACTCTAAACTCCATTCCGCACCACAGGATACTTGTAATCTAAATTGCAGAATGAGACTTCTATCCCTCGTGAAATGTCAACCAAGAGGATGCAAAAAGCACTATTATAAACATCCTCCACCACAAGAACATGGTAACATAAAAAGGAATTACCCCCCACCGGAGGACAGGGCATAAAACCCTGTCCTCCATTAGTGAACTATACTCATTTACGTTGCTAAAGACAATATAGCAGAGCAACCTCAAGTTAATTTCTCACACCTATTGCCTGAAATGTCATTGCTTCTCCTCAGTTAGTTGTTACTTCTTGAATTGTCTGAATTAGTTCAAACAACATGTTTGAATACATATTATATAAACACCATGCAACGCGCATTTTACATCTTTGGAATTTTCTCTTTTTTATTCTTTTTAACTTTGTTAATATAATTTCCTTTCAACACTATAGGATACTTGGAATCTGAATTGCAAGATCAAAGATCTATGGAACCTTATGTGAACCAAGAGGAAGCTAATGGTACTGATGTAGACATCCTCTATCCAAGGAATATCGCACAAATAAATAAATACCATTCATTACC